AACAATTGAAGCACATTACCAAATGGGAAGAACTGGAGGAAATCATGCGAAATGACGTAAGCCAAGCACAAAAGAACAAGGACAACACGAGTCCACTGAGGTAAGCTTTAAAAAAAACAAAAACAAGGAACTAGGGAAAATCTACTATGTATATACATCCCTGGAGTGATGTCCAGCAACTATGGCTGGGGCAAAATCAAAGCCAGGGATATATACGGCAGCTCACTAATAAGAGAATGAAAGAAAGGGGAAAAAAGTCATGGGTTGGGGGGGAGCACGGCACTAACCCACTCAAGGGGAGTGCATTGTTTATTTATCCACAGGAGAGGGTGATAGAAACAAGGCTTCAACTCGATGCACCAAGATGTGTCTACAACATACCAGCATGTACCAGGGAACCAATAGAGAGGTCTGTGGGGCTGGCCCCTATCTTAACTATATGGACACCCCTCTCCCCCTCCTCAAAGAATTCACTTCAGAGGACAGCACTGGGGCTACAATTTGTGGAGAGGGCGTGTCTTATTAGAACACACAGGAGAAAAGAAAAGGGATGGGAGGGGGAAGGGAGGACATCCTGGCCCACCAAGCCCCGAGGATGATATTCCTGCTCAGAGCAGACAACACACAGAGGGTACCATAGGGCCAGCCCCATCATGAGACACAAAGTCCCTCACTAAACGATAATTCTGCAAGCCAATACTGGAGACACAGTGTGGGAATTGTGTACAATCTGAACCCATCACCCTGGGGCGAAACATTAAGGGCATGCAACAGAGCATCAAGGAGAGCAAAGTGATGAAATCCGTCGGGAATAACAAAAATAGACTGGAGATAGTGAGGCACCCTATCATACTCAACTGGAAAACACTGACAAAGGCCAACAAACAGATGTTGCACTATTTATAAGACTTTCCATTTTTGCCAGTGGCTTCTTTGTTGTTGTTGTTGCTGCTGTTATTGTTTTGTTAGTCTTGACTTCCTTTGTTGTTTTATTTGGCTTTGCTGGAGGTTTTGTGCTTATTAATGTATCTGCATGTCTATATAGATAAGATAGGCGGGATAAATTATTTGCTGATGAAAAGAATGGAATCAATGGTTCTGGGGTGATACGGGAGAAGGGGAAATGGGAAAAACGAGGGAGGTGGTGAACAAACCCCTGGACAAGGGAACAACAAGTGAACTAAAATCAATGGGCATGCTAGTCAGGAGTGAGGAATTACTGAACCCGAATGAAGGCCGCACATGATAGTGGGACAAGAGGACAAGAGGAAAGTAAAAGGAAATACAGGAAAGAACCAGGAGTCAAAGTACATTTATAGAGGTCTAAATACAGGCATGTACATATGTAAATATGCATAACGAGAGGGAAATAGAACTATGTACTCATATATATGTTAAGAATTAAGGTTGAAGATAGGGATTTGGCCACAACTCAAGTACTCCCTCACCACAAGATCACTTTGTTCTAACAATCCAACATTCTGTGATGCTCACCTACCTGACATGATCGCTGAAGACAAAATGGGTGCATAAGTAAATGTGGTGAAGAAAGCTGATGATGCCCACTATCAAAAGATCTAGCCAGAGTTATGAAGGCTTGAAGATAAACAAATGACCATCTAAATGAGAAGCAACAAAGCCCACATGGAAGAAGCACACCAGCCTGTGTGATTGATGGGATCAGTTATCAGGCATCTAAGACTCAGAACAAAATCATACCCAAGGTAAATGGTGAGGCGGATGAAGTGGAGACCCAATGCCCATCTGTAGACAATTGGACATCTCCCTACAGAGGGATCACAGGGAAGAAATGAACTTGTCAGGGTGCAGTATAGCACCGATGAAATACACACCTTTCCTCTAGTTCTTTGGTGCTTCCTTCCCCCCCACTGTCATGACCTCAAGTCTACCTTACAAATAAGATTAGACCATAACATGTACACTGCTACAGGCAAGAGCCCGCAACACATGGAATCCAGGATAGATAAAGCCCTCGGGGCCAACAATGAGAGTAGAGATACCAGGAGATTAGGGGAGGGTGGGGGGAGGAAGGGAAATTGATCCCAAGGATCAACCTATAACCCCATCTCAGGGGGATGAACAATGGAAAAGTGAGTGAAGGGCGGCAGAATATGATATAAAATATGAAAATAATCATCTATAACTTATCAAGGTTTCATAAGGGAGGGTGAGCGTGGGAGGAGGGGGAAGAAAGTGGGAGCTGATATCAGGGACTCAAGTGGGAAGAGAATGCTTTGAAAATGATGATGGCAGCATATGTGCAAATGTGCTTGACACACTGAATGAATGTATAGATTGTGATAAGAGATGAAAGAATCCCCAAATAAAAGTATTTAAATAAATAAACAAATAATTTTAATAAAAAATAAATCTATTACATAGCCACAGTAATCAAAATTGAAGTTATGGTACAACTACAGATATATAGACCGATGGAACAGAATGGAGAACCTAGAAGTTAAGCCATGCACAAAAACAATTAGTTTTTGATAATGTGTGGGAATACATTAAATGTGGAAGAGAAAGTCTCTTCAACAAATTATGCTGGCAAAATTGTATCTCCAATTGCATAATAATAAATTGGAATTCGCACCTCAAATTTTAAAATGAACTCAAGATGGATTAAAGACCTAAATAGAAACTCTAGAACTATAAAGATCACTAATTTAAAAATAAGGACAAATTCAAGGGCCCTAATACAAGGTATAAAACCACTACCAAACATCATGTAAAACACTCACACAACTGAAGACGAAATAAAAGACTTGGACATCCTAAACATACAACGTTTATGTGTAGCAAACGAACTCATGATAAAAGTAAAAGGAGAACCACCAAATGGTTTTTAAAAAGCCAAAAACGCGTTAGCAATGATACAATGGATAAAAAGCTAATTTTTACAATTTATAGAAAACTGAAATAAGAAAAAGAAAAACAATTTAATTTTTTAAATGGGCAAAAGACATAAATAGACAAGTCACCAAAGATGACATCCAAGCGACAAACAAATGACTCCTTATCATGAGCAGTTTGAGAAATGCAAATTAAGACAAAGTGACACTACCTCACACTGGTATTGATAACAAAGTTCAAAAATTAAAAAATAATAGATGCTGGAGAGGATGTGGTGAGAATGGGACCCTCATTTATTTCTAGTGGGGGTTGCAAAACCGTATAGCCATTGTGGAAACCAGTATGGCACTTTCTCAAACAAATGAAAATAGAAATTCCATAGGACTCAGAATCCCTCTACTTGGTATATATCCTAAAGAAAAAAAAAGCAAAACATAAACGGATGCATGCATACCCATATTTATTGCAGCACTATTAACAATATCTAAAAGCTGGAAACAACCAAAATGTTGGTGGGTGGAGAACTGAATACATAAAATTTGGTATATTCATACAATGGAATCATACAATGCACCCCTAAAGAATAATGATCAAATACCTTATAACATGGATGAATTTGGAAGATGTTATGCTGGGCAAAGTTAGTCAATCCCATAAAGATAAATAATGCTTAAGATCCCTATTATAAAAGAATAAAATGGCTTTCCCACCAAAAGAAGCAGACCATGATGGTTAAGGAGAAGCCAGGGGTAAGGGCACAAGAGGGAGGGAGGAAGAGAATAGATAGATAGATAGATAGATAGATAGATAGATAGATAGATAGATAGATAGATAGATAAATAGATAAACAAACAAACAAATAAATATTATTATGAATAAAGTTACATAGATATATAGATAACCGAAGAATAACAAAGAAAAATGTATATGCACAAATATACTTGAATAGCCACAAAGGTGGCTAGGAAATGAACTAAAGTATAGGGGAAAGAATATACCAAGGACTTCTCGGTAATCAAATTATAATAATAAAATAAATATATTATTTAATGTCACAAGGACACCCCTCCCAAGGAATACTATGATAGGTAATTTATATTGCTTATCCAATTTACTCAGCATATCGTTAAAACAATAAGGGATATTGAATGTATACAACATTTACTTTATGCCAAATACTGGATTAAACACTTTATATGAATCAGCCATTTAGTATTTAATTATTTAATTTGTTTATTAAGTTCTTTTAAATACTTTTGGAAGTTCATTAGAACTTTCTGTGATGAGTGTTTTTTTTCCTTTGATGTTGTTCAATATGTTAGACACTGGCCACATGTGCCTAATGAGCACTTGAAATGTAGTTAAGATTTAAACTTAAAATTTTTTTTATTTGAAATTAAATTTAAATAGCAACATGTGGCTGTTGGCTACTGTATTGGAAGTATAGTCTTAATTTATATAAAGCGAAAAACCTTTTTCAGACAGAAGAAATCTTATGCAAATTGAGCCTCTCTCCATCTCCCTGAGTGGAGACTCCTATAATTTCAGGCATTTTTCCTTCTAACTAGGACTTTCCCTTTGGGTGATTTAACTAGGGCAGCCATTCTGGGTCCTGCAATTGAGAGGTATACACAGGGCAGGGCACCTTGCTATGCCTTTATGAACACCATTAAAATACAAGTTTGCTATATTTGTCCCTAAAGATATCCCAAAAGAGTTTACAAAAGATGTTAGCAATGTAGTTATCTTTTAAGTGTGATTATCTTGGATGGTCTGTGCCAGTTGACCTTCTAAAGAATGTATTTGCTCCCAAAGATTTCTTATTTATGATAACCCAGGTTGTCTTTTTAAATATGGGAACACAACCTCATGAGATCCATTTAGCTCTGTGTGTGTGTGTGTGTGTGTGTGTGCACATGAGCATGTGTGCATGCATTTTGCAGAGTGAAAATGGTTTTCATTTCAATGCACAATCTAAGTCATGTTTTACTATGATTCTCCTGGAAAATAGTTCCTGTCATAGGATATGTACTCACTACCTTTGGATTAGCAAAGCACAGAACTGTGATGAAGTTGTTTCAAGCACTAGCAATAGAGGTTATTATGAAGTGAGACTTGATGCCAACCTTTCTTGAAAGCCCTCACATCCTCCTGGATTTCCGGGGCTGCCTTCTGCACAAATTTGCTCTTCCCTTCCTGGAGTTCCGCCAGCATGAAGGGGCAGTGGGCATTAGCTGAAAATGGAGTGTATAGGAAAAGGTAACAGAGCAAGTGGGGATTAATTTCCAGCCATAAGTTCAGTTCAACACTTATTGAAACCTACTCTTTGCCAAAGTCCTATCTCAACTCTTAGACTGATGGGAATGACTCATACTGCAGATACATTTTAATAAGCTGTGATAGTTAGGTTTATTGTGCCCACCTGGCCAACAGGAACATGTGGGATTAATCAGGTCATGGTTTGATTGGAGGGCAAAAAGATAAATGTCTCTGCAAGGTCCACCCCCCTCTCACTTGCTCTCTGGTGATCTGAGCAGCATGCTGCTGCTTTAGCTAGTTCTCTGCCTCAACCTATGAGCTACACTACCTGTTGGCCAAGCCAACCCATGGATCTTGTCTCTAGAGCTTGATGCTCCTTCGAGACCCGCTTCATCAAAATGCTGGTGCATACATCGTTTGAACTCCAGGCTGGTGGATCCTGTTGCTTTGCATTGCTTGAGTTTGATATCCCATCCAGGCCTTCTTTGCTAAGCTCCTGTGCTACCCACCCTGCTGTTTGCTGCCTGTGGGCAGACTCTGCCCGCCTTGCCTGAGGGAGGACTTCGCTGTCTGCTTCCTTGACTTGGACCTGACAACCCACATAAGTTGAAGCACTTCCAGTATATGAACTGTTCCATGAAAGTGAGTTAAACTGAGCTCTCTGTACTGCTGTGTGGACTAATTAGCTGTTATATTCTTTCTCTCTCTCTCTCTCTCTCTCTCTCTCTCTCTCTCTCTCTATATATATATATATATATATATATATATATATATATATCCTGGTTTTTGTCCTAATTCATCCTGCCTTAACACTTTTCAAGAGATCACTCCTAATTTTCCTAAGACCTAGAAAGTCTTCACTTTGCCAGTAACCTCCTTTTTTTTACCTCCTCCAGCCTTGGTGGCCTCAAGGTGGATTGTAGAACAGGTTATTCCTTGATTCGCCAAGATGGGACAGCGTCCAACAACAAACAAGAACTGGTGAGTCTTTACCAACTTTCCCAGGAGACTTGTGGAGCCCCGAGAAAGCACTGGGCAGCACTGGAGCAACAGGGCCACTGTAACCATCTTGAACCCGAAGTCCTGCAGTAGAATAGGTGAAACAAATGAAGTTCTATTACGAGGGCCTGACTAAAGTCAAGGGTAATTCCTGTGCTGGCTTCTTTGTCCTTAGCATCACATCCAATACTTACTGCCATTCCCAGGGCAAGAGCTTTCCCCTCATAGGTAAAATGGGTCAATAGGTCATCAAACCCCAAAACGAAACCCATTGACTCATACTAACCCTATATGTGGTTTCTAAGGCTGTAAAACTTCTTGGGAGCTGATAGCCTCATCTTTCTCCTGCAGAACAGCTGGAGATTTGAAATCCACCAATTGACTTCTGTTAACCGTCCAATACTTACCTGATAGCACCTCCAGGGCTCCTAATAGAGTATCAGAAAGGAGAACTAGAAACTGAGCATTAATCAGAGAAATGTAGGAAGGAATCAATTAAAGACATGGAGGAAGAATCCCAATTAGAGGTTAGGAAGCCTAGATTCTAACTCGGGCTCTGCCATGTGAAAATAAGGATCATTGCAGTGTGCTTTTGTGTAGCAGAATGAGAGTTTACAACCTACCAACTTCTTGGACAATGCTTAAGGTCAATAATCTAATAATACTGGCCTGCTAATACAAAACAGATGCTATTGATCAGAGTGCCTAAAGTTCAACCTAGAGCATTTCCTTATCAAGCCCAATGAGAAGAGGGAGAAGCACCTGGAGGATATAGGTACTACTTTATAGAGATTCAGAAATAAGGTTCCAGATCTTGTGCACCCAGAATGGTATATTCATATTGCTCTCTGTGGATTTTCTCCTGGCTTTTAAAAAAAGCCACACAGAGAGCTCTATGAGTCAGTGAAAGAAGCAAGAGGCAAAGGTTGAGAGAGGAGAGTAAGGGGGAATAGAGGTTATAGGAAACTGAGAGGCATATAGTAGGTATTCAGTAAGTAATTGTTGAATATGATAATAAATTAATGAATAAACAGTAATTCAAATGGAGGAACGGGAAAAGGAGCAGAAGAAGAAACAGAGGAAAAGAAAAAGAAGAGAAATTGGGGAACATCAAGGTAGGACAAAGCTGTGGTGGAAGAATAGAAAGTGAAGTTGAGAAGCAGGGCAAAGCCAGAGGGGGAAAAGGGAGGGATAAAGAAGAGAATAGACAGGAGAGGAGGAATGAGTCAGAATGGCAAAGGACAAGAGTATAACAAGAAACACAGGGGAAAGTCTGAGATAAGAGAAAGAGAGATGGAATGGCACAGAGAGAAGTGGTTCTGTCAGAGAAATAGATGAGAGGAAACAAGTAGAGATAAAGGAAGGGATAGTAGCGATAAAGGAAGGGATGAAGGGATATAGCTGGAGAGAGATGTAAAGAAAGACATAGGTAAAAGGGAGATGATGATAGGAGTCCAAGAAGAAAAAGAATGTTTGGAAACTCTGGTAGCATTTGTGAAACTGCTTGACACGATTGGATGATGGAATGATATGATATTATTAACTCCCAATTAATAATAAATTTAAATATTTTTTAAAAAGAAAGAGAAGGAAGGCTATCCAGTAAGCAGAGGGACAATGATAAAGTGAGACAGCCAAAAAAGAGAACTATTTTAAGAAAGAAACCAACAGAGGGAAAGTGAGAGATAAGGAGAGGCAGAGGCAGACACAAAAAGGGCAGGAGAAAAGATCAAGGCACATAGAAGGATAGACAACAACTCTGAAAATAGAAGAGAGAGACAGAATAAGGATACAAAAAGAGGAGACAAGAATTGAGAGGAGTAGAGTTAAAGAGTTACAGTCAGGCACAAATATAAAGAAAAATGCTGCAGATACTGGGGATGGACCAACAAAGAAGAGTTAAGGAAAGAGAAACACTACCCTATTAAAGGAGATGACATCACAGAGGGGTCTCAGGGAGGAGATGAGCCAGTCAGGGTGTGATGTAGCAACGATGAAAAATACAACTTCCCTCTAGTTCCTAAATGCTTCTTCGCCGCCCCCACTATCATAATATGAATTCTACCTTGCAAGTCTGGCTAGACCAGAGGATGTACACTGGTACAGATAGGAACTGAAAATACAGGGAATCCAGGGTGGATGATCCCTTCAGGACTAGTGGTGTGAGTGGCGATACTGGGAGGGTAGAGTGAGAGTGGGTTGGAAAGAGGGAACCGATTACAAGGAAATATATGTGACCTCCTCCCTGGGGGACAGACAACAGAAAAGTGGGTGAAGGGAGATGTCGGACAGGGCAAAATATGACAAAATATTAATTTATAAATTATCAAGGGCTCATGAGGGAGGGAGAGCGGGGAGGGAGGGAGGAGAAAAATGAGGACCTAATGCTGGGGGCTTAAGTGGAGAGGAAATGTTTTGAGAATGATGAGGGCAATGAATGTACAAATGCGCTTTACACAATTGATGTATGTATGGATTGTGATGAGTTGTATGAGCCCCTAATAAAATGATTTTTTAAAAAAGGGAGGTGACAGAGAGACTTCAGTATAGGGTGAAGAGAGTAGGGGGGGAATGGCATGAATAAAGGATAAAGACAGAAATGGGACAAGGGCAAGTTGGGAGTGGGGTCTGTGGAGGAGAATGGAAATGACCAAGAAGAGCTTGTAGCCAGGACCTCCTTCACCTCTTATAAAACACAACCTTTCCTAATTTCAGTCCCTTTCCCTACTTCACAAAGTGATCCTTTCCTCTGATTTCATCCTAGAGTATCCTACACACATTCTCACAGGCTATCACAAAAGTTTGAATTGGTATGTAGCCAGGGCTTATGACCACTGAAACTGTGAAAGCAGAATTGTTGAAAGGATTAATTTTTTTTAATTTTTAATCATTTTATTAGAGGCTCATACAACTCTTATCACAATCCATACATACATCAATTGTGCAAAGCACATTTGTACATTCATTGCCCTCATCATTCTCAAAATATTTGCTCTCCACTAAAGCCCCTGGCATCAGGTCCTCATTTTTCCCCTCCCTCATGAACCCTTGATAATTTATAAATTATTATTTTGTCATATCTTGCCCTGTCCGACGTCTCCCTTCGCCCACTTTTCTTTTGTCTCCTCCCTGGGGGATGGACGCAGAAAGGATTAAATTAAATAACTCATTTCAACGTTCAGAATAGTGCCTAGTACTATCTTGGTACTATAATTTTCAATGACTGTTAGCTTGTTGTATTCCAATTCCTGTTCCACAACTCCTTTGTAGGGTGTTTGCAGGTTGCAGTTTCATCTGTCAAAAAAGAGGTAATAATGCTTATGTCCCATGGTAAGTGATTAATTACATCCAATGTCCTCCTTATATCTGAAGTTATGAGTTTCCCTTCTCCTAACTGTCTGAAAAGGCTAACGCACTCAGGGTTGAGCCTGCATACCATAGATAAAGTTCCCAGGGCTTATCATCATTGAAGTCTGACCACTCCCAAAACTAAGAGCAGGGTGTAGGAGAGAAGAGCCCCTTCCTGGAATCCGGTCTGAGCATCTGGTGGGGCTTGACCTCAGCTGCTGGCATGGGGGAGGTGCAGATGGCCCTGGCACAGAGATAAGCAGTTTCTAAGCTCATGCAAACTTCTTTTTTCATCATAAATACTGACAATAACAATGGCAAAATAATTGGGGTTCCTTGTGGGGGAAAAAAACCACTAATATCAGAGGCAAAATTCATGATGAGTATCTGCATCTACTCCAATGTATAAAATTGGAACAAGTTTATTAATCTCTAATGGGTTTTTGACCATGATATTCTCAGGGCCATGGGAAAATATAGACAACTTCTTGGACCTTACTGAATTCTCATTTAAATGCCAGTTCAAATTTCTGTTCTGAGAAACCTTCCTTTGATTTTCTCCTCACTCTGCCTTGCCATTTTTATGACCACACATCCTTATAGTCTAGTGACCTGGGATATGTTTCCACTCCATCTTAGTACTTACCATAAGACTGAAATTAGTAAAATTAAACTAAGAACGCATTTTAGACAAGGCACAAACTCTGGAGCCAGACTAATTGGGTTAAATCTTGTCTCTACTACTCACTAGCTCTGGAACCTTGGAAAACTCACTTCCCTACTCTATATCATAGCATTTGCAAAATGTAGATAATAACAGGGAGGGTCTGTAGCACAGGGATATTGTGAATATTTAGCAAAATAATCAATGTAAAGTGCTTAGTTGAGTGCTTGTCTCAGAGTAAGTACTAACTGTTGACTATTATGCTTATTTCCTCCATTTTTTAATGTAGGGAAAGTGACAATATAGACAAAGGAATATGGAAATCTCATTATAATTTACTGTGTGAACTTGAACTCTGTAGATCCTTCTCTGAACCTACCTTTCCCCAAAGATACTGAAATAGATAATTGCATAGAATGCATATGGTTTGGGTAACTAAACAATCACAGAGCATTCACTGTGCCAGGCTCTGTTGCAACTGCTTCACATATATTAACTCAATCCAGAAAAACAAAATCAAATTCATGGCATCCAGTTGATGCTGATTCAAAGCAAGCCTCTGGAGAGAGTACAACTGCCCCTTTAGGTTACCGAGAATATAAATCTTTTCAGATGTAGAAAGCCTGATCTTTCTCTCATGGCTGTTGCTTCCAAACTGCTGACCTTGCAGTTAGCAGTCCAACGTGTAACCCACCATGCCACCAGCATCCTTAGTTCTCATGATAATTCTGGGATGGGGCACTAATAGCATCTTTATTTTTAAAATGAACAAACTAGGTCACCAAAGCCTTAAGTACCTTGTCCAGTGTCACAGAACAAGTAAATAGCAGAAACAGGATTTGAACCAAGCCAAACTGACTGGTTCCAGAGCCTTCTAACTTAATCACTATGAATCTGCGATTCAAATATTACTACATATTTTCTTGACTGAGGGTCTTACTACAGGCATTTGTCCCCTCTTCTATATCCTAATATTAGTCTCTTTCCAAGACACTTTATTTTGAACTGTGACAAATGACTTTACTAAAAGAAGGGATCACTAACTGAAGTGGAATTTTAGATACTGTTAAACCATTCATTTCATGCATTCATTCATCTCACCTTTTAGCACCATGTGCATCCACTGTGTGGTAATCTTTCTCAAGGGTCTTCTTAAAGCATTGCTTTCTTGTAAAGGATAGTGGAATTTTAGTCCATGTCATAGATTGAAATTATTCCCCCCTCCCCCCACCAAATATGAGCCAACATGATGAGGCTATGATTCTCAAAGGTTTGGTTGTATGTAATGTGGCCGTTATGGGCTGATGTAATCATCACCCGTTATGTGATCATTTAATCAATTGTAAGGTGATTAGGATGGAATGTGACACCCTTACTCAGGTTATAGTCCTAATTTGATGTAAGGGGGGATAGGGTATCTTGAGGTGTGCCAAGCATCACCTTTGGGACCAGGGTCCCTGTGCAGAGAATTTCCTACACGTAGGACACAATTGATGCCAAAGCACAAGGAGACCTCCAAAGGATTTGGAACCCACAGTTGAAAGGAAACAATGACCTTCATCAAGAGACAACAGAGAGTGAGAGCTTTCCCCTAGAGCTGGTGCCCTGAATTTGGACGTCTAGCCTCCTAAACTGTGAGAGAATAAATACCTGTTTGTTAAAACCATCCACTTGTTATATTTCTATTAAAGCATCACTAGATAACTAAGACACGTTTAAAATCCTCTCATGTCAGCAGCCAATTTGAAGTCCCAGAGCCAGAAAGGTCAACCTTCTTTCACTATAGAAACAGAAGCTATTCACTGCACCATTCTTTGTTCCTTTCCTCCCCATGTGACTTGCTTTGCAAGCATCAGTTAGGTCTGGAGGGAAAGTGGTTACTTCTCAGAAAATTGGAGCATCAGGCCTTACTTCCCTCCCTACCACACTCTCCCCCACAACTAAGGAATCGTAAAGAATTTTCGTTATCTGGAATACGTGAATACAAAATTCTTAGAAACAGAAACATTTAGAAGAAAACATCAAAATTAGCAGGGGTTGATAAAATCATAGCCCCAATCCCTCTTTTTTTCCTGAGGGTGTGTGGTTCGCTGGGGTCCCACAGTGAATGAGGATGAGAAGGCAAATCTTTCAGTGATACCGGCTTTCTCTTTCACAATGTTCCCTTAGTTTTGCTAATCTTTGTATGTTCATGATTTTTTTCCTGTAGCAAATTAATTAGTGCCACCACCCCATAACCCCTCATCTTTCCCTCCCCAATTCTGGTCCCTTAGATTTGAATCCTTTGGGCTGTGTAACCAGCCAAGAAGAGAGGGAGCATAAAAATAAGAAGAGATAAAGTAATGTAGGGAAAATATCAAGGCATCTTTTTGGATGGCAGAGAAGGAGACAGAGATAAAAAGTATGGTAAATTGTGAGATAAAAATTGAAGAAAGAAACATAAATGAGAGAGAAAGATTGAGATACAGAAAACATTTGGGGGTGGGGGTGGGGTGGGGAATAAGAGAAAGCCAATGTCAGAGATGAAGTGAAGTGAGTGATTTTGAACACTAGAAAATGAGCGGGGGTGGGGGTGGGGGGTGGTGGTGGAACAAAACAAAAACAAAGGAAAACTGAAAACAGGGAGAGACAGAAAGTGCTATTAGAGGAGAGAAAACTATGACAAAGTGACAGATTCCAAAATACTGATTCAGAGACTGCTGGGTCTAGTCAGACCAGAGAGCTATTATGTGTATATAGCTTTGACATGGCAGCAAACAGAGAGGGAACAGGTTGAAAGCAGCTCTTACCTGTTGCCCTGCACTGAGGACGAACGAATGACAGATGGGTGCTGTGGGTCAAAACTGAGCATTTATCCCTTCCCATCTGGCTCAGTTCCACCCACCCCGCCTTTCCCTGGCCTGGCCCTGCATTGGCCCAAAAGGTGTCTCAGGCCCCTGTAAAAGATAAAACCAAAGAAGTCTCTTCTGCTGGCCCCACCCCCTCCCCCCATTCCCTGCTCCACTCAACCAACACAGGCTTCCCTCTTTTATCTTTTTTTTTCTTTTCTTTTCTTTATCTAGGCTAGTAGAATGAACTCACTGGTCTTTGGAAATGAACATCCATTTATATAGATAAAGCACTTTGCACAAGCTCATCTCTCTGACTCTTGGGTTTCCTCAGTTATAAGACAGCACTAAAACACAGCGTGGTAATTGTAAGCTCTAAAGTTCAGTTTTCATAATGACTAAAATCTGGGGTTATTATATGTAGCATCATGTACAGGAAATACTTAGCGTTGTATCTGGTCCAAAGGAATAACAGCTAGTGTTGACTGAACACTTAGTATGCACCAGATCCTTTGTTATGTACTTGGCCCAAGTACTTAACTTTATAAAGATTTAGCACAGTCACAAAAAGACATCAAGAGATAGGTGCTGTTATCCTCATGTTTCAGATGAAGAAACAGAGGCTTGAAGAGTTGAGCTAACTTAACCCAACGAATCTACTTCTTTCTCAGAATATAGAGTTGAAAATTTAAAATTCCTTTCTTCTCTTTTCTATTACTCATATCTTTTAAATTATATTCTCCTTTTCCTATTTTCTTTCCCTTCCTTTCTCAATCCCAGGGCAGCAAGACTCTCATAATCAGGCAATTTCATCTGTGGAGCACATTATCATCCTTAATATATTTAATCTGTGGAGCACAGAAAAATTATTTCATCTGTGGAGCACATATATAATCACATATTAATCTGACATTTTGTTTTCCCCCATTTGATCACATGCTATATACCAAAAATAGTTCAACATAAGCTTATGTTGTTTAGTGGAGTTATGATATTTCAGTTTTCATTGTACCATGATTAATTTAACCATTCCCATATTGTAGGTATTTAGGCTATTTCCAGGGATTTTTCTTTCCTCCATCATAAATAATTTTGTAATAAATATCTTTGGGCATATATAAGAGTATATTTTTTATAGAGTAGACTCATACAAAAAAGAATTCCTGCATTAAAAGGTATATAGACATTTAAATATTTTATACTGTTAGTTCTACCACTTGTCTGTCAGTTTGTCATACTGCGTGGCTTGTGTGTTCCTGTGATGAGGGAA